TATATATATATATATATATATATATATATAATATGGCACTGCAATTCAATGGTAGGTAGATACACTTACTTTAATTCTTTCTTAACCTCATCATAGTCAGCTTGCACCTTCAACTTTTCTTCCAGTTGCTTATAGGCAATAAAGAAATGAAAAATAATTTTGATTAGATTTTTTATTTTACAATATAGCCTTCCTACAAAGCTAAGAAAAAAAATATAAAAAGGAAAAAAATGGTAAGATTAAATTTGTTTCAATCCACAAAAAAAAGAGAAAGAGGACACGCCTTTTCTATTACCCACTATCATAGACAGATAAATATAGTTTTTGATGCTTTTACTTAAAGACTGCCACAAACAAATTGATTTCTTGTGGCTTATCACCCGATATCAATGACATTGGCTCTATTTCCGTATATCACTAAGAGATACTGTGTGTCTAGAATGAAATGAGGGTGTCAATGAGGATTAAGAAATTCTTACCACAAGAACACCTTTTGGGTGTGTGGACAGTTTCCAAACATAGATGTGGACAGCCTGCCTATTCTAAATAGGACTCTGCTGCCTTGGAAGAGACAGACACAGATTTTGTCAGGCGTTCTAATTTACACCTACGGCCTAAATGACACTTGTGTTCAGGAGTGCCTATTTTCTTATTTAATTAATAAGCCAGTGATGCCCTTTTCTGGATAGGTACAGATTAACAAATGTTATTTACACAATGGGTAGAATCAGGCCTGGATTATTGTTATGTTTATATTTATGTTTAATCTGAAAATTGTGGAATGATCTTGAACGAAGTTTCTGAATGGGATGCCTGATGGCGCACATGTCACATCTCTGTTGAAGCAACTGCACTGGTTGCAATTAGATATCAAGATTTAAAGTTCACCTTTCAACCTACAAGGCTTTAAGCAATATGGAACTTTCACTGTTAGACATTTCTTGGATTCATCAATAAGGGTTGAGGTTATTGTTTTTAAAACAATATTGCAATGTCTGATCTGTTGTTGTTGCCTGCCAGCAGAGCTGGCAGCAAATTCGTACAGTAAGGTGGTTGAGGAGGAACATGGGCCAGTCCTGGAGTCCTGGGAAGGCTTTGATGAGGGCTCTGTGTCGGAGGCAGAGAGGGAGCCAGAGCCGTCTGACAGCTATCAGCTGCTTTCAGAGTCGGACATCAGTGAGGCAGAAGAACAGCTGGAGCCTGTTCCCAGTGTGCGCATGCACAGAGTTGCCAGATGAAGGGAACAGCTAAAGAACAGGGGTCGACTTGAGAGTAAGGCCATAGGTGGACGCTGAATGGCCCTCTCCCATAGGGAATAAAAGGGGAGTGGAGTTTGTAAGTGACAATTAATTCACTTAATTGGTTCGTGACTCTTTGAGACTCCTTGCCAGGTTTTGCAGAGATCAGCCTGGCAGCTCTCCAAGCCAGATAAGGTCTGTAAAGAGCCAAGGTGGCGCAGTGGTTAAATGCAGCACTGCAGGCTACTGCTAGATCAGCAGGTCAGCGGTTCAAATCTCACCGGCTCAGGGTTGACTCAGCCTTCCATCCTTCCGAGGTGGGTAAAATGAGGACCCAGATTGTTGGGGGCAATATGCTGACTCTCTGTAAACCGCTTAGAGAGGCCTGAAGGCCTATGAAGCGGTATATAAGTCCACTGCTATTGCTATTGCTATTGTAACTGTAAATCCTCCCTTGAAACACTTTGCTGGATGTGAATGAGCAGAATTCATAGTAAATTAATAAAAAAGTTTTTTTTGTCAGGACAAGGAGTTTGCTTCATACTCTTGGGAAGCCTAGGTCAGAACATTTGCTGACTTTTTTATCTCTTCAAGCTAACTACCATCTTCTTCTCAAGGATCTTTTCTAAGACTGAAGATTGTTCTCCCACTTGGACGAAGAGAAATCGAAAAAACTGACTTAGTAAGGCCTTTGACAAATGTGAAACTGTGCACTCCAGCCATTTAGACTGCGAGTGCTTCCACAGCCTGCAACAGTTGTGGAAAAAGATTAGCATAATAATTGTCTGGAAGAACCCAGTGAAATGCAAAGTGGAACAAAAGGTTCAAGCTGTGAAACAATCTGGAGGAACAAATATCTGGCTCTAACTATCAACTTGGTTCTTTTTCAGACAAAATAAAAGGCATGTTTCTAATGCTGTGCAAGGTCTAAAAATACTCCTACACCAGCAGATGATGCTTTAATTGGGGGGGGGGGGATGGGAGAAATTCCTATGCAGCAGTTAAGAAAAGTTTATCAAGAAGCCCATCACGATGTATTAACCTAAACAATGGGCACAAAAAATGAATGAAGATCAACGTAATAAGTCTTTCAGACTTTAGTTTAAGTCACGTATTTAATCACTCAATCAAATTTAGCCTCCCCCCCCCACCCAGGGGCTAGGAAATCACACAGCTCTGAATCGGGAGGTAAAGTATCAGGTTGTGTTGTCTTTTCTACGGATACAGCAACCAGACTGCACTCAAATTCAAATACGGCTTGTGAAGTATGTTTTTCTTTCTTTTTACTTCGGGTCAACCCCTGTCTGATTCTCAGAGTCTGCTTGGACAAGTCTTTGCAATTTTCTTGGCAAGGTTTTTCAGAAGTGGTTTGCCACTGCTTCCTTCTTAGGGCTGAAAGAAAGTATCTGGCCAAAGTGACTTAGTTCGTGTTTTGTGCCTAAGGCAGGACTAAAACTCATAATCTCTGAGTTTCCCGCCTGATGCCTTAAGACCATGATGGTGAACCTATGGCACGCGTGCCAGAGGTGGCACACAGAAGCCTCACTGCTGGCACACGCGCCACCACCCCAGGTCAGAGCTCAGTGGCGTTTCTTTCGTGAGCTTCTGTTTCCCTGCAAACAACGAAACAGAAGCTCAGGAAAGAAAAAGATCTTACCTCTTGCCACACTGCTGGTGTTGGAATTCCCTGCCTCCTGCCAGTCTTTGGGTCTCTGCAGTGCAGGTCTGCGTATGTCTGTGCATGCACATGTCTGCGCATGCACATGTTCGTGCACACCTTTCAGTTTGGGCATGCACGCATGTGCAGTTTGGGTACTCAGTGTCTAAAAGGTGCGCCATCAGTGCTGTAAGATCTACACCAAGCTGGCTCTCATGAAATATGTAATCACTCAAAATCTCCGCTTCCCAAGTAGCAAACTCCCCAAAGACACTGCTCTCCTGGTCTTGTAAACTCTTGTAGACAGGTTGTTTGCTGGGCAAATGGGAGTGTCTCAGATTATGGCCTGTGAGTGGCGGCTAAATTTCCTGATGGAGAATAAATGGACTGTATCTGCCTACTTACTGACAGCCCGGATTTGAGAACCGAGCACTGCACTACAGGGTCAGCTCCCGTTACTTGTCCTAACTCCTGCCCATCTAAGCAGTTTGAAAGCACACAAATATGAGTGGATAGATACCACTTTGGCGGCAAAGTAACAGCGTTCTGAGTGCCTTGGCGTATAGTCATTCTGGCCATGTGATCACAGAAATGTCTTCAGACAACGTTGGCTCTCTCGGCTAGGAAATAGAGAGGAGCACTGCCTCCTAAGTAAGATATGATGGTAAAGGGGAAATCTTTACCTTTCTCTTGGATGCTTTCTTTCTGGCAGAACCAATCTGAATTCTAAATGTGATTAACTGGTTGAAAGGATCTACCACAGCACTAGGAATAATGTGTATATCAACTCTAAAGCGAACCTGGCTGGGGCCATTTTGGAGGCTTCAGGATTGCCACAATGCGAAGAAGGCATAGGGAGGAGAAACATAGTTAATGGGTTTTTTTGTAGCCAAACAAAATAGTTTCCTGTGGGAACCAAGGACATTCTAACAGGTGGCTGCGGAGAGGAGGAGTGGAGTAACCAGGCAACCAGCCAGCACCTTGATTGGACAATGTGACTGATTGTTTGGGGAAAGGGGGAACTTTCATTTTTTAATCCAGTGAAAACCGCAGGAACTTTCAGAGTCGGTTTTCACCAGTTTGTGCCAATATGACATCTCCAATAAAATTGTTCTTTGAGGAATCCGCCGGCCTCGGAGTTCTGTTTTCTATGGGGTTATTACTTGGAACCATAGCAATGTATTTGTCAAAAGAGCATTAGAGGCTAAATATACAATTTACCTTCCTCCCAGATCCTATCTAAAGCAATGGTGGAAACCAAACTGCTGGCTTACTTTGAGAGTGCTGTTCTTGGCAGTCAGCTGCTGCTCGAGCTGGGAGATCTGGCTGGTGGAATTTTCCCGAAGTTTGGTAAGGTTGCCTTGGAGTCTCTGAACATCTTCCACCAGCTGAGCAATTTCTCGTTCTTTGGAGGCCAGTTCTACTTCCAGGCTGGATCGTGTCAACACTTCAATGGCCTGCTCCTAAGAGTTAAAGGGAATTGGAAAGAGAGGAGACACAAGAGATCACACAGTGGCAAAGCAACAGGACAAATATTACCTGCAGCACATTAAAAATGAAAAGCTAGTATTGGGTTATAGAGAATGGACAGGTCAACCTATTGTACTATTTTCAAATTTACTATTTTCTTCTGGCAGGTTTTGAAACATGCTAGAGAAAAAACAATTACAATTTACAGAGCTGCCAAAGAATAAAACACATTGGAAGTCAGTCATGAAAACATGTAGCATTGGTCACTTCAATAACATTTACATACATGTAAAAAAGACTCAGTTCTTGTCAAATTAAGAAACAGATTTAATAGATAATGCATATGTGCCAGTTTCCAGTGAGAGATAAGTCATGTCTCTTGCATGTTGTCTGCATTTTAAAATACAAGTAATTTTGTATTTACAAATATAGATTTGCTATCTGATCTTTTAGAACTTTTTAAAAGGATATTTAATTTGAATTAAAGTCAATTAACATAACTGATTTTTCAGGCAGTATTATTAATCAGTGTACAGGTAGTCCTCAACTTACGACTGTTCATTCACTCAGTGACCGAGGTTACAACAGCACTGAAAAAAGTGACTCGTGAGCATTTTGCACACTTACAACCGTGGCAGCATCCCCATGGTCACGTGATTTACATTCGGATGCTTGACAACTGACTCGCATTTATGACGGTTGCAATGTCCCAGGGTCATGTGATCCGCTTTTGCGACCTTCTGTCAAGCAAAGTCAATGGGGAAACCAGATTCACTTAACAAGCCGTGTTACTAATTTAACAACTGCACTGATTCACTTAACAAATGTGGCAAAGAAAAGTCGTAAAATGAGGCAAAGCTCACTCAACAAATTTCTAGCAACATACATTTGGGGCTCAATTGTGGTCATAAGTTGAGGACTATCCCGTAGTTAGTTTACCAGTTTGATATACTGTATAAGTCTCCTTTTTGGATTAAGTCAGAATTGATTATGCAGACTCATTTTTAGTTCTACACAATTTCTTATTTTATGCAACGGAAACTCTACCCAGAAAATCTACTTTCAAGGCCAACAATTAATAAAGCTTCCCCCAGCCTGGCTGTTTCTCGGTGTGCTGGACTTGTCCTGTCCTCCCTCCCAAAGATAGTAAATTGGGAGAAAGCTGGGCTTGAAAAAATATATCCTGATTAGGAGCTATCTTGTACTGCTGTTGTTAGCACATTTTATTTAATTGAATCATAGGGCTGGAAGGGACCGCTGAGGTCTGTGCTGTAACTAATATCTGCTTCAATCATACTTCAATACACTATGTTCTATTAATGAATCACCGTTATTTTGAATAATAAACATGCTTGGATGTTTTGGTAGAGACACTGTTGAGCCTTCTGGAGACTGTTTCCATAGTTCTTATGAAACTTTGGAACTGATCATTTAGGTGAACTTTCAGGATTGGGTTGTAATTATATACAAACTAGAAATCAATGTTTAAGGCAAACTCTAATTCGGTAAATAAGCTACCCAAATAATCCAGGGCCTATAGCTTGCTTAGCATTTAACTGGAACTTAACCCTTAAACTAGAAATTGCCTTGATGTTTTTCCTGGTTTATGAAGAATCACAACCCACAAGCACAAGATACAATCAAACCATTACTACATAAATTTGCAAAGCCTTGCCCAAGGTTTTACTTAAGCTTACAGCATCTTGCTTGTGTAATAATGATAAATGCTACGTTAAGACTGCATATGGTTTGGGCCAGTGTAAAGTATTCTTCCTTCATGGGAATATCACATGTAGAGCTCTCTCTATAAAAACAAATCAAATTAAGTGCCTAGGTCCGTCTGATTTCTTGCAGTGTACGTGTGTAGGTATATGAGTGAGTGTGCACGCACACACACACACACACACACAGGTAGTCCTTGACTTACAACCACAATTGAGCCCAACATTTCTGTTTCTAAGTGAGACACTTTACGACCTTTCTTGCCACAGTTATTAAGTGAATCACTGCAGTTCTTATTAACCCAATTGTTAAGTGAGTCTGGCTTCCCCATTGACTTTGCTTGTCAGAAGGTCAAAGGGGATCACATGACCCTGGGACATTTCAGCCATCAAAAATACATGCCAGTTTCCAACTGTTCAAATTTTGATCGTGTGACCATGGAGATGTTAACACAGTCGTAAGTCTGAAAAATGGTCATAAGTTACTTATCTCAATGCTGTTGTGACTTCGGTCACTAAAGGAACTGTTGTTAAATCGAGAACTATCTGTACCTAGAAGTGTTAGAATATGCAAAGAAGAAGAACGACGAACAGTTGTGAATTCTCCAACACTGGAAGTTTTAAAGAAGAGACGGGACAACCATTTGTCTGAAATGGTATAGGATTTCATGCCTGAGCAGCGGGCTGGACTAGAAGACCTCCAAGGTCCCTTCCAACTGTGTTTATTCTATTCTATTCTATTCTATCCTACCCTATTCTATTCTAAACCTCTGTTTATCATGAGATCTGGGAACTAACCATGAAAATAATGAATCTATTCTAAGGCTATATATGATATAAATGTTCACTGTTCCTGGAGATGAAAAGATGGCTCAGCAATGGAGAGGCTATCACTTTCTGTAACTGGCTAGCATGCAACTGGTACATTAGAGGCATGGCATGAAGCTCCATATACCCCCTGTTCCATTTTCCATTCCCATATTATTTTTAAGCCCCGCAGGGTTAGTTTAAAATGGACGACTATGCAAACGTTTTAAAAAAAGAAATACAAGTCTAACAATCTACTGTCAGAAGAGAGCACAAGGACAATTGGCTTTAGATCAGCAAACATTACCTTCCAGCTTCCCCCAGGAAACCGGAGGGTTATTATATACATGCTTCCTCCGCAAACACCCAGGGCTATCTTAAGGCATGGGCCTGATTTGCCCCTGGGCCCCATGAGCATAGCGGCTCCATACTAATCTGTGTATGTTAACCTGTCAATGCACCTTGTATCATATAAATACAGCAACATATTTATTACATTTTACTGCATTTTAAAATTAATTTGTTGTTGTTAGTTGCGAAGTCGTGTCCGACCCATCGCGACCCCATGGACAACGTTCCTCCAGGCCTTCCTGTCCTCCACCATCCTCTGGAGTCCATTTAAGTTCACCCCTACTGCTTCAGTGACTCCATCCAGCCACCTCAATCTCTGTCGTCCCCTTCTTCTTTTGCCCTCAATCTTTCTCAGATCAGGCTCTTCTCCAGTGAGTCCTTCCTTCTCATTAGGTATTTAAGTTTCATCTTCAGGATCTGGCCTTCTAAAGAGCAGTCAGGGTTGATCTCCTCTAGAACTGACCGGTTTGATCGGCTTGCAGTCCAAGGGACTCGCAGGAGTCTTCTCCAGCACCATAGTGCAAAGGCCTTTTAATTAATACTAACATGCAAGTGTATATTTAATTTTATCGACCATTTACATTTCTATTCCTGTGAGTAATTGTCATAGGGGCCCCAGTACATTGGCTGGGGCCCATAAAGCTGTTAAGATGGCCTTGCAAACACCCCAGTCCTAAAATGTCCAGTTCTTCCAGGGTAGAAGATTCTGGCTAAACAATTCAGCTTTACACAGAAGGAAAGTTTAAGAAGTTAGACGGCAGGCGCTCCAAGAAGATTATAGGGGAATAGAATGCTGCCTCTTACCACATCCGGTGCTTTCTGAATCTGGTTAGCCAGCTGGAGAGATTTGTTTGCAGATGAGAGTTGCTCCTTCAAGGACTCTGCTTCTCTTTGAGCTACCTCTGCCCTCTGAAAAAGAGGGAGGGAGGGGGAGGAAATCAGGAAGTGAGGATGGGGGAAGAGGGAGAGAATGTACATTTGATTTAACAACTGGCAATTATTGCACGAACATTCATCAATTCATGCCCGACTGAGTATAATTGATTTTCCTAAACACTCAACCTAATAAATGATGGGGGGAGAACCTCTGAATGTGATGGATTTTTATTTTAAACAGTACAAGGAAGAAATAATTGAGCGATTATGACAGTAATTTAACGCTAGGAGCAAGGAATCCCCTGCTGACACAAATGCTGCGGCCCACTGAATTTCCCAGGCTGGATGAATGCGAGTGGAAATGGATTCCTTTGATTCAATTGCCTTCTGTATTCTGAGCCAAAGCAGGCAGAGTTGCGCGATTCCTTGTGGGAATAATTCTCATGAGTAAAGGCTGAATTAAATGATCCTCAGTCTGCTTTGCCTGAAATAATCACAATGGCCTTTTGTGGAGTCTCTTTCTTCCATAACCATGTCTCTCCTTTGCATACATGCACACAGTGAAGTATACAAGGTAAGGAGAATGGTTACAGGCTTAATCCACATTACATTTTTATCCTGCCTCTTTAAAAAAAAAAACAGGAGGCAATAACCTCTGATATGCCAGAGATTTGCTGAATATGTTTCTCATCAGCCCAAAGCAGTATGGCCAATTATCAAGTTGATGGGAATTGTGATTGCAATATCTAGAGAGCCACCTTTTCCCATTCTGTTCCAAGGGACACACTGTACCATGCAAAATAGTTCCTCTTGTCCTTACAAAACCCATGGTAAGGAAATAGAAGAAGAGGCCACCCAATTTACAAAATCCCAAGTGTTTGCACAGTGCCTACAAGCACTGGGCTCTTCTATGCATAAATGCAGCTCACTGCGTAGATATGACATTTATGAGATCTGTTCCTATAAACAGCTTGAGGACTGGGTCAAGGCTGCCCAGAAAACTTCCTGGCTTTGAGAAGAGGTGCTGGGTCAAGTTCTCCTTAGTCGAAATCTAACACATCAACTGTTCCACATTTGTTTTTAATGAATTACACGACACAAAAAAACAGTAGCTCTAGAGGGAAAAGCAGCGCATGAAAACGTTAAATTATAAATGTACTTGTTGGAGCAAGTACATGCTACTGTAGAAGAAGCATCCCCTTTTGGATGGCTTAAAGCAGGAATAATTCATTGTAGATGGTGCTTACTGACCATAGTTTATTGGAGAGGGGGGGGAATGATGTTTGCTCCTCCAAACTAGCTTCAAATAACAGACTCAACAGGGACATAAATTGGTCAAAGCAGAAAGGCCTTGTAGGTCTCTCTCCAAATCCAGTTCCAGAAAACTCTCTCTCTCTCTCTCTCTCTCTCTCTCCCTCTCCAAATGGTCTCAGAGTTGGAAGCATGATATATTTTCAGTGGAATGATTAAAGTCATTTATTTACTACCTTCATGCCCAACTGTCAAATAATTGGCCTATTTTTTTCTTCTATTATCTTGGCTGTAAGGGGAATGAATTTATTATCTACATAAATATCTGCAAATAAAAACTCAGTTATTAGTGTAAAAGCAGGTAAGAGATCAGTCACTTAAGTCTCTAGCACTGTTGCCCTTCCCTCTTGAGCAAGCCTGGGCATTTTAGGGTCCGTGGTTCTCATCTGGCCTACATCAGTGGGCATCGTCATTGGGGCTGGGGCAGTGACATAGGATGGGACGGCAGACCTCCACAACCGTCTCAATTTCTCATGTGGCCTCTTGGGAACATTAACTGCCCACCTCTGCTCTTGAAGGATCCTTCCTAGGGGGTGGTAACAGTGGCCTGAGGTAGAGGAAGGAGAAAGTCCAGCTAATTAGGCTTTTGCAGGGTTGTGGCCTGCTCTCCTCCCTCTTTTTAGGGATCATTTCCATAAGGCAGTTACCTTTGCAATGCATCATCAAGCCCTGTGGAAGGAGTGCTCTTGTCATCCACTGACCTCCCACTGAAGCATTGGTGCAGATAAGCCATCCCAATAATCAGCCTCCAAAGCTGCTGCAGGGATGTGTTTTTAGCTAAAGAAGAAATGTTCTGAAGGAGTGGGTGGGAAAGCATGAGGTGGGCTTCCTTACCTTTCCGGCATGGTTCCTCTAAATTACAAAAGGGTGGTCAGAATGTAAAGGACTACATGAAAAGAAAAAAACTTAAAGAGCCATGCTTGTCCCAACCTCTCCAACTGAAGGGAGTTTTCTTTCAACTTGCTAAGAGTTGGCTTCCATTGCGTGTTACTCTTGATATTTGATATATACAGTATATATCTGATAGAAGCTATAAGGAAGTGGCGTAGAATATTTGCAGCATTTGCAAAATGGTAGCATGATGCCATGGCGTCCCTTGTCCCTTTAGATGTCTGGGCTTTCAATCAACATGCAAGGATGGGTGCAGGAGGAGCAGTTGAGGACATGGGTTTTTCAAGATAATGATGGTGACCTGAATCATACCTGTCATCATAATTTTCTTGCAGGACACAGGGATCTATCACCCTAACTCAGGAAACTAGATCCAATAATCACTACCTTTACCTTCTGGAATATGAATATGAGGTATGCCCGGTTTACAGCTAGGAGATAAGGATTCCTATCAAAACATGAAACTCACCATATATTTACATTGATAAGAGATATCATCTTAATGCCATGTGCCTTCACTATCTTACATTTTAAATCTCATTCAAGGCTCTCACATTTCTTTCATTTTTTTCATTCATTTGGTGTTTAAACATAATGATTCCATTAAAAGGGAATGAATACTTCAGTGAAGAACTTAGTCTTCAAGCTTTCATTCCTATTTTGCAGAGATTTTTTTGCTGAGGAGTTTGTCTATGGTGATTCTCAGCCATTTGGGTCGTAGTTATCTCAAAGGTGCTTTTTCAAAAGGCAAATGAACTGTCTTTGTTTTTCCTTGAGGATGTTTCACTTGTCATCCAAGAAGCTTCATCAGTTCAACCAATGAAGCTTCTTGGATGAGAAGTGAAAAGCATCTTTGTTTCTTCACTTGGCTCTTCAAGTAAATAGTTTTTATTGGAGAAGGTATCTCTGCATGATCACGTATGTTGATGGAATAGGGAATACACTCCTTCTTTTCAGTCTGGCGCACACAGTTTAATTTTGATCAAAAAACTTGAATTGATCATGTCTATAATCAAATCTATTTTCTAAATGAAGTTTTAAAATACTAAGATAAAAACCTAATACAATAAAAATACATGAAAAAGTGAAGATAAAAGTGCATTTAAAAAATTTCTTTCTCCCCCTCTGTATTCCCCTTACAGCCAAGATAATAGAAGGGGGAAAAATAGACCAATGATTTGACAATTGGGCATGAAGAATATCAATGGCTGCTTTATCTGTCATTTCCACCTAACCAAGATTTCAAACAAGGTTACCAAAACTGGAGGTAAAGTCAATAGTGGTAATTTATACTTCAAAAGCAAGAATGCATGGAGGCAAGTATACAGGCTGCTCTTAAGTCTTTAACTGTGACTTGGTAATTTTGATATCTTCAAGTGCAATGACAGTGAAAAAAAAACTTTCTCATCAAAGCTGAAAAGAAGATACTATCCAACTTTAAAATCTTACTTGATTTGCTCTTTCAAGGTCTGTCATGATCATCTCAATTTCATCTGACCTAAAAGGAGATAGAAGAAAGGTCTATTAAGCTCTGAAGAACAAGTAAAAACATATCAAACACCAATCATCTGGACTTTTTAGGTCTATAACATTTGTGCGCAGCAATATTTTCTTCAAAAATCTTAAAAGTGATTCTTATTTTATATCAAAACATTATGAAATTAAGAAACTCAAGTTGGAACTTTCATTGTTCTAAAAATAACATCTGGGTCATCAAAACAATTAGCCAGAATAATTGGAACATGATTTAATTGTTAAAAGTGGAAAAAAAATGCCACCATACATAATCTTGGATTTGGAAACTGGAGGCTCACATGGTGTGAAGGGGACCAACATTACAAAGAAAATAATATTGACTTGTAATAATGCCAAATTTCATGAGATTTGGGTAAAAATATCAAAATTTCATAGATGAAGATATAAAAACTTCATGAAATTACTAGCATTTCTACTTAAAAAAGTAGGCTGGAGCTGAATCATCACATAGCATCCAAAGATTCTACCCCATACATTGACCAACTTGTAGTATACAGAGCGTATGCAATTATTTGATAGGCTGCACTTACAGAAGAAAAACTCACTATGAGGTTAGAAGGGACTATTTATGCCAGTGTTTTTCAACTTCAACATGTGTGGACTTGAACTTGACACTGTGCTCCACATGGCAATCTAAACTAAAGCATCACCAACATATGATTTTGATATCCAAGGAAGAGGAATTCACTACTGTCATTGGTAATTGGTTCCACTGTCCAATTGCTTTTACGTTTTGAAAGCTTTACTAAACCAATCAGAGTCTGTACCATGAACTCCTCACCCTTCCCAGAAACTGATCTCATGGCATGATCAAAATCTCCCTATGACAATCATTGGGAATTCCAAAATTCATCCAGAGCTGTGACCTGAGTGCTCAGTCAGGAATACGACTACTTCAGCCAAAGGACATCTCTAGTCACCATCAAGATAAATAGTATCATTGCTACCCTACCTGGCCATAGCATCACAGCTGTTCTAGAATCTAGTTCCCAGACACTGGATCTCTGAAAAAAAATTATATCTCTATCCCCCAACAACCTTCAGTAATGCACATCACATCCAGCCATGAATGTTGATGAGTATGTCTTATTACAAAAAGATCAAATTTACCAATAGGTGATTAAGGCCATGGTCATCAGTGAACTGACCAGCAGGATCATGGGACAAGGCAGGTGGAGCAGAATGAAACTGTAGACACCCCATAATCATCAGCCCAACATTTCTCATTATGTCACCCCTCCCATCATAGCCCATAATCTACTCTTCCTTCCCATTCCCAGATTACACTTCCTGACATATGGAAATAGTTCTTCATAAATCACTGTTGCCCCAATCCCAATAAAACTTTGCAAATCTAATACAATGCAGCAGCAATCTGTCATAAGTCACCCCAACTATACACAGGTTTTCTCACCTATTTGTCTTCCTTCCACTTCTTTCACTTTCTCTAAGTCCATCTTGAAATATAGTACTCAAAATCAAACTAGTACTTGAGATAGGGGTCTGATCTATTTAGAATATCGTGTAACTATTATTCTATGTTTGGAAATGATACTTCTAATAATATGCATTCTAAAACTGAATTTGCCTTTTTATTAGTTACTGTATATCATCCTGCTGGTTGGTTTCAGCATTATGATCAACTATAATACCAAGTTTTTAAAAAAATATTATTATCATACTAGGTATCCCAATTCTTTATATATGAGTATTTCGACTTCCCCCCTAATTGAGTTTGTTTTCCTTTTTATTAAGTTTCATTCCATTTTCAATCCATTTTCTTTATCTATTTTGACTTCTGCAAAGCAGATAAAGATTGTATCCTACCGTTTATCCAAGCTATTAATAAAAACATTAAAGATCAGGCCAAGACTGAACCTCACAACACTCCAACTGATACCCCAGGCAGCGTACAGTGTCACTATACCACACTTCAAATGATAATTCAAACAGTCCTAATAAAAGATCCAATATAATTTTCAAATGTTAAGAAATTAAGCAGTAAATAAAATCAGATTAAGGAAAGCAAAGTATTGCACAAGTCTGCTTAATTTCAAAACCTAGCTCTAAAAAGCAGGTATTAGAAGAATCAGAAGTTCAAAAAGGTAGTATGCATCTGTGCATCACCCTAATTTGAGAGGAGGGGCACACAAGAACTCAGAAGCAGATCCGCTAATTTATTGTTTTATATACAACATTCCTCCAAAATGGTTAACAATAGATTAAAATCAATAAACTATTTCTTTTTAAAAAGAATAAGCAGGTAGAGGGAAAGCTTTACTCTAATCTGTCCTATAAACTACATGAATTTGGGGGGGGGGGGTCTGGTATAGTTTTATCTTATTAGAGTCTCTGCACACAGAGAGGCTACATCCAGGATGATCGCTACACAAGATTCATGGATTTGATCAGGACTTGTCTGTACTCCCTGCCCCCATTTATCCCAGTACAACTTCTCTTCTTTAAAACACTCCCTTTGAACCTCATAAAGCACTGCAAACTTGCCAGTAGCTTCTAAAGAGATCCACATGTAACAAGCTGAACATCAATGAGGTCATTAATGCTTTAGCCATAAATAAAATAAAAAACGTAATGAATTGGTACAATGTTCTCTCCTTAGGCAAGCTTCAACAAAATTGAGGAAAATCTTCAAAAGTTAGGCTCTTTTCATTGCAAAAGCTGAAATGTTACATCAGGAGCTGACATTTGGCACCCGACATGATTTATTTCATAAAATCTCTAGAAGCTATACTTGTTGTCTGTAAAACTTTAATATAAAAAGTAGTTCTAGTTCATTTTTACACGATTCGGTTCATTCCAGGTCTCAATCATTCAAGTTCTTCGTGATTATTAACAGACAGGACTAGCTGATGTTCTCAGGCTTCACATCTTTGATTAAATTCCCTTTTGATAGAGAAGAAATATCTACATTTAGTAGGCAAACCCCACTTGCTTCAGTTTAATATTCAGAGAGCATAGAAACTGCCTTGAAATAGATTAGGGGTCTTCTACATGTAAGATTTTTAAGTTGCTACCATCCGACCAGAAGAGTAAGAGGACATGAACAACATTGGAACTCTGAATCCTCCCAATCAAAAACTTCAGGCTTGAAGGATTTGACATTTGCAAGATTAAAAACAAATATGTGCCACTACTGCCTCACAATTGGAGGTAACTTTTCATTATGTGTTAATTTATATCACAACATACCCAATTATATTTTTCCCAAAGGGAATAGAGGAGTTTTTGCACCTAAAAGACAATAAGGCAGAGTACGTATTTTATAAATAATTCCCAGGGCATTTTCATAGATCTTTATCAAGGGTATAGGTTCAGTCCTTAGAGACTGCATTTCCTCCAGATGAGTCAGTATTAGACAAGCTGGGTTCAGACATATTTGCTTTTCTATCGGAATGTGATTGAATGGATTTATTTAAACTGTTGAATAAATTCCCCTGATGAAGATCAGTGAATTAGGCCAGCCAATTCTTTATTAATATCTGAGGCTTATTGTCTTTGCAGCATTTCTTCTGATCTGTAATCCACAATTATCCTCTACTGAAATATATTATGCTGCATTTTGTATCTCTGCCTGAAATATACTGAATGACCATTACAATTTCTCCATTTCTTGGTTAAAGGCAAAAAATGTTTGGTATGAACTTGGAAATCTTATTTTTTTCAGTTAAGCTTACAGGTAAACGTTTCTGTCATAATGCAGCCTGAATTTCCAAGTGTTCCTTATATAATGTAAGAACATTATTAAAATTGAACTGCTAGGAAATAGGGATTAAGCACAGAAGAGGGGGGAAACAGGTGGAGGGGAAAACCCTAATGGCAAATACAATAGCAACACCAGAATATATGAAATGTTGTTGACTATGGAATAACAGATTTTCTTTTGAAGTTTCTGCTTATTTGGCTTATTATAAAAGTCAACATCTGTATCAACAAAAGTGCAGCAAAAATAATCTTGATTTCTTTTATCTGAGTGGCTGGTTTGCATATTTCAAAAGTTATTACCGGCATTTAATATCATATATTTAGACTGAGAGCCAGTTTGGTGTAATGATTAAAGTATCAGACTAGAAACATGAAGACAGTCAGTTCTAGTTCTGCCTTAGGCACAAAGCTCGCTGGGTAATCTTGGCCAGTCCCTTTCTCTCAGCCCTAGGAAGGCAGCAATGGCAAACAGCTTCTGAAAAATCTCACCAAGAAAACTGCAGGAACTTATCCAGGCGGTCTCTGAGAATCAGACACAGAATGAAAGAAAAACAAATACTCAGACTGGGGGGTGGAGTGAAGGGAAACTGTGTGTACCTATGCCAAAGGAATGATTCTTGCATTTTTGGTTCAGCAACATCTGGAAGGCCATTAGTGCTTCTCATTCCTGATCTTTACCAACAGAATTAAACCTTCTTTCTATGAAATATAGGTTGATGTGTTCTTGTTTTTTAGTCTGCTTAAGAACAGAGGCAACAATATGTTCGAAAAGAAATACACCTCAATACTTCCAATTCATTCTGGGGGATTTTAAGTAGAATACTTAAATACTTCAAATACTTGAGCCGCAGTGGCACAGTAGTTAGAGTGCAATACTGCAGGCTACTTCTGCTGATCGCCAGCAGTTTGGCAGATCGAATCTCACCAGCTCAAGGTTGACTCAGACTTCCATCCTCCCGGTAAAATGAGGACCCAGATTGTTGGAGGCAATATTCTGACTCTGTAAACCGCTTAGAGAGGGCTGTAAAAGCACTATGAAGCGGTATATAAGTTTAAGTGCTATTGCTATTGCTATACTGAGTGGACAGAAGTATTCCACAGAGTCAAAATGCTGCCTTGAGGCTGAAGGTAGTATACACCTCATTATATCAACTTGAAAAACATGTTGGCTCTGAAATTGAAAGTGAAATTTAGCTATTATGATGAGTAAGCCAACTGACTCCTTCCCCTTAAATAGAT